AAGGAGATAAAGACTTACTAAGTTTTAGCATGTACCTTTTGATGCTGGCGGTTAGACTCATCGCAGACACAACTCATTTCCAATTCGTAGTCCTTTTCCTTTGCCTCGTCATGAACTCCATAAATTCTGCTTATTAGAAAGTATATCAAAAGCTGAAAGATTATGCAAGTTAAAACCACACATAAAACAAAATGAGAAAACAAGATGATTTATGAGAAACTATTGGTTCCTAGAATTGTTGAGGTCATTATAGTTTCAAAAACAAGACAAACTTGATGTGCATATATCATATATGTTGATAACTCATTCTAAAACTAGGAAAATTAGGCGCGTGTTTGGTTTGGATAAAAAGTAAATTTTAATAAAAGTTGATGAAATGTGTGGTTAAAAAGTTCATAAAAGTTGTTGATCCCATTAAATATGTGTTTGAAAATGAGTTTGGAATAAAAAACGAGTTTTAAGAAATGGGGGCCAAACAGGGGCTAAATTTACTTGAAAAGGTCTAGTTATTGTAGAAATGCTTAAAATTTATAAGAAGCAAGATAATCATGTTTGGGAAGTGATTATATATAGAAAAAAAAATGGTAGATAAATGGATAGGACTTATGGATCACACAAAATGTGTGAATAAAAAGTAGGTTTGACCAATTATAAATTAAATGAGTGATAAACAAGAGAGCAAGTTTGGCTAAGTCAAAAAAAAGAAGCAAATTTACTTTTTCATGAAGGTTGAGATGCCCCTAAAATAGTGATGTATTGAACTAAAACTCAAAAGAATGTAACTTTTAAGGAAAAGCCTAGCTTAGTAAACACGCTTTCAATAAAAAAATATTAAGCTATCCATATGCATGTGATTCTATATTAGGTTTAATTCACAAACAAAAGTTCCAGATGACTAATCTGGCATAAAAAATTCTAGAATATGATCTACTTGCAGCCCATAAATACTTGTAAATTCGAAAATTAATTGAACTATTTCATTGAGTCTCAAAAACTTTTCGAGGCACTCTTGACATCACATGAGGCCTTGCCACTCTAGATTTATTCCCTAGTTATCATTTTACCCTTCTCTCGCTCTCCACTTCCCAAACAATTATAACCAGCTCCCACAGGACCCTTATCATCCTATATCATCAAGCCAATCTACATTCCCCCCAAAACAACTAAATTCCAGAGTTCTTATATAATGTGTTATCAGGACCCTTATCATCCTATATCATCAAGCCAATCTACATTCTCAATTTTGCTTCCTAGTATTTAAAATCTCATTTATCGCCTATATCAATGGACTCATTGCCAAGTATTATTATCCAGTTCTAAGCCATAAAACTAAATTAAGTAAACCCTTACAGAATTGAATTTGCAGAAAAACTAAAGGCAGGGACCCTCAAATTTGTCCTTCTATTTGTGGACAGTTTTCAAAAGAAGGATAAAACTTAAAAGCTTGATTCCTTAACATAATTACATATGAATCAATCTTCCACATGACTGCATTTTTGCAAAATCGAGAGGGCAACATAACCAAGCAGGCTAGCATCATATTTTGAATATAAATAGTAGACTGGTAGTGTCATATGTTAAAACATGGAAAGCAACAAAAGCCTCATCAGCAGAATGCAGTGAAAGTTGATAGCGCACCTAGTATACAGGCATTTTTGGCAAATTTAAATCTGTTTTAAACCAGAAACTATGGCAAAAGAAACACTTGTAGCCAAAAAGAGTTTAGATGTATGTGTCAATTCAATTGCATGAAAATACTCACATCTTGGCCACCTCAATAACCCCTTGTCGGCAGGTCATTTCAGACAGCTTCAATTTTTCAATCTCACTGTACACATCGTTTTGACTCCATGTCAGTATTCAAACAAAACTTGTCAAACAAATAGCACATACAAAAGAAAAAAAAAATCTGTAATGAACGAGTAAATGTTATATTACCTGAAAATTTAAATTATATAACTTAGAATCAAATAAAAAAATGTATAATCATTTAAGGGGAAGAATTGCTGCTTCAGTTGTATAAATAAAACCTTATATAGTAAAATAGTCCTAATCTGCTTCGGATAATTGAAAAAATAAAGCAACAAAATATAGCAAGGAGAAAAGGGGAATTGCACCACACCATCAGCATGAGAGGCAAAAATTCATATGTTATCTTTTTCAGTTTTGGTTCCTCTAGATGTTAAAAATAGTAGGTTGGATCATATGGAAGCACAACATGGGGTATGAACATGCACAAAGAAATTTCTTACGTTTTAGCAGCCTGCCTGCCCTTCCCAATTGCAGCACCAAAGTATCTCTACAACAAATGGTATACCAAATAAACATCACGAGAAAATTCTCAACAAACAAGACCAACTATATGAAATAATTCATAGTTCTAGAGCTTAATAACCATTAAATGCTATACTTATCATTTGCAAATAACGGAAATAAATCAACTCACATAGGAAACCCCAGAAGGTTCAACCATGTACAGCTGCGGTCCATCCCTGTCATAACCTCCCAGAATTACTCCACTTCCAAAAGGCCTGCAAAATTTATACTAGGATCACATGTAGAAAGAAGTTAAACAGAAATAAGAGTTCAAAATTTGATCAGATGCAGTAATAAACCTCAGCCACCAATATAGTGTGCATAGATGGACGTAACTGGCAACACGTTCTGCAAGTTCTTTTACTGGTATTGGTTCACCATACACACTGCGAAGCCAGATAATGGCAAAATATAAGAAAGAGATGTGGCAATAGGTAATTGTTTGACAGCAGTACGTGATCATTTTGACTGAAAATGAGTCCAAGTAAAAATCACTGTTGTTTGCTGGGTTGAAAGCTTCTGGGAATCCAAAGATTTTATCCAACAGCAGAGAAAAAGGTGGTTGCATCAGGTCTTTGGTACATGGGTGCAAAAAAATATCTAATATCCCTTTCTTCTATTTTTAAGCGTGCACAATTCATAATTCTAATTTTACTCTTGTTAATCAGGGTTTTGGTCAAAGGAAAAGTGTAACTGGTGATTTAGTCTTTGTGCGGTATCTTCTAAGCTATTTGGTGACATTTCAATTTTCTTTCATTCGGTTTCACAAGTTGAAGGTCCTCTCACAATTTGAATGTTTATGTACAAGAGGATAAACCACTTTTACATTTGTGCAGTCATATACACTACTATACTTAATAAAATCTCTTTAATAACAAAAAATATTTCTCAGCATCTTCCATCTGTCAACTATCTTGAGCACTATAAAACCTTAAACCGATGTTTCACATATTCCAGTCCCTGGTGAAGCCCAAATAGACCTTAATTCCTATTCGTCCCCTCCATATGATCAGATTTATGTCCTCTACTATAGGAAATCACTGACCACACTAGTCCTGCAGCAACATAGAGGCTTAAACAAGGAAAATCTAAATTTTTGTCTTGGTTATGGAAATACAAAGGTCATATTACTCCTTTAAGATGAGATAAACGTCTGGTAGCGTATGATAACCGTTATCCAGAATTGGTCCAAGATAGATGAGTGGGTGCTTTATGGGAGTTTGGGAAGGACTGAAAGAGATATTACGCAGTGCTTTCAGTCTCTTGACTCAGTAAGTTATGGCATGTTAAATATACTAGAAAAAGGCAGAATACAGAAACAGAGCAGCATGCAAGATAGCTGTAAAATAAACCTCTCATAGTTAGTTGCTTCAGATTTTGCCCGTGCTACAATTTGCCTGCCATCGGCAGCTAATCCTGCAACAGCCTGCAAATAGAAGTACATCAGCAAGGACACAAACTTCAATTAGACTGTAATAGAATAAAATAGATGAATTCCATCTAGCTGCGACAGCTTATCATCTAAGTACATCTAATTCTTCATACTTATATCCTCTACTACTGGTTTATTTATCCAAGATTTTGTAATTCCTATTTTGTCCTTTTTCTTTTGCTATGTTAGTTCATTCTCTAATATTAGACATTCAACTTGAGATATATATATATAGAAAAATGTTACCATGCCGGAATGGCGATGGACGGCATGGATTCTTCTGTTGGAACCAGGCAACATCATCTTCGAAGTAATCAGCTTCTCCACTCCCTATTTCCGTTTTATACACATCGTAATTAACAAAGCAAAAAATCAGAAACCCTGAGAACTAAAATTAATTAATGTCACATAATAATACAGTCATATATGCATACCAAAACGATTCCATCTTTGCATTTGATACCGACAACGGTGCCACTGTTGTCGACGGCTTTCGCAGCATACTCGATCTGGAAAACGCGACCGTCCGGCGAAAATGTCGTCACTGACAGATCGTAACCCGTGCCTATGCTGCTCATCTTTCTCTATATACTGCTTCTCTCTCTCTCTCTCTCTCTCTCGCTCGCTTGCTCTCTGTAATACGTATGTATATTCGATTGAGCTCCGAATCAGAGTGGGTTTTCTTTGGGGTCAAGACAGACTTGTGGGGGCTGGGTAGAGAATAATAAGGCGTTTCTCTAAATTGTCAAAAACATAAGGGAAGGTTTATGTAATTTTTCCGATTCTTCTCTTCGTGTTTTTTTCTTTTTTTTTTCTCATTATTTTTAAAATATATATTTTTTATTTTATTTTCAATCACATATTTTTCAATAAAATGCAAATTCAAAATTCTTCTTTATTTTTAATCATACATTCTTCATCAAAATACTGTTTTAAAATGCATTTTAGGGGAAAAAATTGGCACAAACATCACTATATATTAAAATTAGCTAAGCAAATCTTACACGTGTCACAATTTCCCGTCGTCGTTAAAAATTCCCCATTTTTTAAAAAAAAATATTCCAGCACCGCTATTCCTCTTTCTCCATTATCTCACGCAACTACCCACTCCTCCTCTATTTTCCCACGCAACCTCTCATTGCTTCTTCTTCCTTTCCATTAGCTCAAACAATAGATTTTTTGCTCCAACTTGCAGATGGTCCGACTTTCAGATGACAGTACCTGAGACTTTAAATTCGGCACTTGATGAAGAAATGTCTGTTGACCCTAAAGTCTTTTTAATGGGTGAAGAGGTAAACTGGAAGTTTTAGTTCAGTATGGGAAGAAAATGCACCTACTCACATTGTTTCAGTAATCAGTTTTTGATTTACACATACTTTTCATAATCTTATTTTTATTCTTTCAATAATCAGTTTTTGATTTGCTCTATGTTACTTTAGATTTCCAAAGGGTTTTTGGAGAAGTATGGTCCCAACAGAGTTGTGGATACTCCTATTACTGAGGTTTCTCTTCGCATTTTACTTATGAATTGTTTTAGTTGTGTTTATAATATTTTTTATACTCAACCAGCTTATATATTGCAGGCCGAATTTACTAGAATTGGAGTTGGTGCAGCTTACTATGGTCTCGGGCCTATGATGAAGTTCATGATTTTTAACTTCTCTACGCAGGTGAGAATTCTTTCTTTATGCTATGTTTGACTATATAGAAATGGGACTTTTTTTATTCTATTTAGAAAATATTTATGTTCAATTTTGAATATATTATTCACACATCCAATTTTGATTCCCCAATTGTTTGCCACTAAATGCACCTGAGTATTTGTTGCTTTATATTTTGAAGTGCATTTGATTCCATAATGATGCTCTACAGATGTTGTGATTTAGCTAGAGTTTGTATGAAATAGTCGATGATAGACTCAGCTTAAAGCTATCGCAGTCTAAGCCAAGAAGATACATACTTTACTGTGTTAGTTTTTGGTTCAATGCTTAATGAAAAAAGTCATGCCTACAATTCCTATGGCTGACTTCAATGCATTATGAAAATAATTACTTGTATTCTTCATAAATGATCCTTGACTATAAGACATGAACTCCGTCCAGTGGATGGAGACATGGAGTGGACGGAGTTATGGAAATAATTACTTGTATTCTCCTGAAATGATCCTTCACTATAAGATATAGAACTTCGTCCGCTGGATGGAGACATTTTTTCATGTCTCCGTCCACTGGATGGAAACATGGAGAAATGTCTCCATCCAGTGGACGGAGACATGGAACTCCATCCACTGGACAGAGACATGTATTGCAGTACATTTAACTTCAGCATGTGCTATTTACTCTGGGCTCTTTTAGACTGCTCTTTCTGTTGTTATGCTTGAGCCTCTTGCTGAATCCGTAGCCTGGGTTCAAGGGGTAGCTAAAGTTAAGTGTATGGCCCTTCCAGTAAGATCAGTTGTTAGATAATTTTTAATCCATCTTTTATGCATTATTATGTTATATGGCTTCAATCAGCTTTAATTACATCTTTCGTTTTCAGTTTTCATTTTATAAACTTGGGTTAAAATTTGGATTAGTGCATGTTTCTCGTGACAAGTGTCCAGAATTCCAGCATCACAAGAAAGCTGGTGCTATGAATGCACTTGTAAGTGGTGAAGTGGTGATTTTGATATGTACTTATGCTAACATTGCATTTATCAGTTATAACCACCAATCCATGTCTACCTTCCCCTGGCGTCAAGCCCAAATCCCATCAAATGGCAAAAAAAAAAAATTTTTAAAGGAAAAGAAAAAAATGCATTGTTCCTAAATAATATGTCATTGTTTTTCGTTTGAGTTGCATTTTATTGATAGGTCTTAAACGATATTGGCAGCAATATAAAAAAAAAATGACTTAAAAAAATCATTGTTATTGGTATTTTAAAAAAAATCGTGCACGGGGGCACAAGGTGTCTCTGTGTGCGCGCACGAAGGCACATGGAAGTGTCTCCGTGCACGATTTTTTTTTCCCTACCAATGAAGATTTAATGGTGGGCATTTATTGCATAATCAAATTAAATGAGTCCATTAAATGGATTTATAAAATCTTCGC